GAAGGGCTGGTGGAGGGGGGCAGGTTGCAGGAGGGCTGAGGACAGTGAGAAGAGCAGGAGTCAGGACAGCAGAGGAGGGTGAGGAGTGGGGGGGGGGCAGCAGGCACCAGGGGAGCTGATGGGGCAAGAGGAGGAGACATGGCAGCAGAGAGAAACGGTAGAGATTTAAAAGATATTTATTAATAACTTATTAGTAATTACTGTTCTTATTCTTATTAGGAATTTATGCCATTAAAAAAACACTGTGGGGGGGGCGAGTCCCTTTTTTGTCTGGTGAGTAGGGTTTTCCATAATTTGTTGAGCCCTGGTCACAAGCATTCATCTCTTAGCAGCCTTGCAGTCTGTCAGGTGCTATTACTGTGCTTTGTTAACAATAAAACTGGCTGGAAGCCCTGGCACCTTTATGGATCTTGTGGTCATTGGGTGGTTCCATTGAGGTATGCTGTGCCAGCTGTCTGTGCAGAGCTGGGACAACACACAGCCACACATCAAATGTTCTTTTAATTTCTGTTTAAATAACTTCCTCATTTGGTGTAAACCCCCTTTCTGAAATTAAATGCTACGGTGTTGGGCTGCTGTAGTGTTTTCCCTATATGACATTGCACCGTCTATCATGCTAGCAGTATAAGTGTTCCAATAAAGAAATTCTTACTCATGTATTTGCATGGCTATTCCTATAGCACAGTTATGTGTTCAGTGGAAGATGAAATAATTCTTACTCTCAAACTCACTGATATTCAATTTATCAAGTATTTTGGAATTAAACGTGCTATATAAATGTAAGCATCGCTACCAAGCATGCCAGGAATCAAGAGCTATTCTTCCACACAAAGTAATCACAGCAAGCATACCTGTATAGTTGTTTCCTTTTGCCTCCCTTGCTGCTGCCGTCGCCAGGTGTAATTTGGTCCTGATCCAGGCATAGCCAAGCATTGAAGGAAAATGCTGAACCTGGCCATTTGTGAATAGGTGGCACAGCAATTCCTGCCATACTAGGAGACAAATTAAAATACTGCAAGGCACTGTCCAGGCCTTGCTTCCGAGCCATTGTCAGAATTGCATGCATCACAGGGATGACATACGGGTGAATCTGCTTTGGTTTACTAGTCCTCAAGAGTCGTATTAGTCGATGCAGTTCTCCAGAGCTCATTGACTGACTCCCCAAAGAACCCTGGAGGGCAATTAGGTTCTCAGCACAAGTACGATGGAGAGAAGAGTGGAAGTTTAATGTCTCAATGATACAGATGACCATGTTTGCATTGACACATGTGGCACGACTCTGCCTGTTAATACAGCAAATTCGCTTCAACCAATTTGAGATGAAGATCTGCAGGTCATGTGACTCTAACTCTGGCAGCCACTGGATAAGCAGCAATAAGGGCTGTACATTACTAATGCCCAAAATTCCAACAGACGTGTGATCACCTTCAACAGCCTAGAAAAGAGCATAGAACACAAAGATGAACTACTGGCCTATTGCAATGAAACGGGCAGAAAAGCTGCCCAGGAGATGCAGCCATTTTCGATAATGTTCAAAGGAAGCACATGTCTCACCATATTCATAAGTTCTTCTAACAGCTCTCGTGAGGGCTGACCCAGAGATTTTAGTACCTCATAGATGTGTGCATAGCCAATCCGCTCTTTGAAGACCTCCTGAGGAAGGGGGGAAAAACTAGTAACATTAATAAAAGATGTATGCATGCAGTTCTAGCCACATGAATCCAGAACATTACAGAGACAGGTTGGTGAGGTTATTATTGGACCAACTTTAGTTGATGATAATAAAAGTGAGACACACAATTCTAGTGGCTAATTACTTACCGGTATTAATGAGGTTTAATCAAAATAAAAACAGTTTTATTGTTTGGTTACCCATTATGAGAGCATGCTAAAAACCTTCCATAAAGGCTAGAGAAGCTAAGGATAGCCTTTCAATTGACTTAAGTCAATTTTGGATCGGACCCTACAGTTGTAAGAGATTTATTACACTACTGCATATTATATTATGCCTTGCAACATATTTTCTGTAGCTTAATAAATGATTTAATTCTAGCTCGTAAATTGTACAGGCAAGGAGAAGAGCTTTATTTTATTTGTCGTAGGCCATAAACAAAGTCTCCAGTATTATTGTTTTAATGTAATTCAAAATGTTAGACTTGAAGTTACAGTGTGAGATGAACACACATACAAGTCTAGAAGTTGAAGTATTCTATAATCATTTTTAAATAAAATATTCTCCTGGAAAAATAATGTCTTGATTTAATAATATTTGAGAAATATTTGATATAGAAACTTTATTAAACATAGGAAAGTATTCCAAAAACTGGTTACCTTTCACTGAATTTATGGAAAACAACTCTGAAGAAGTTAAGCCTACACAGTTACATACATCTGTTTACTAGTTAATGGACAGTAGTCGCATGCTGTTAAGTAAATTCCCTTTTCTTTCAATGAGTAGTTACAATTGTTATTTGTGCAACGTGGAAAACGCCCCCACTCCCCCCCCTTTTTTTTTTAAATGAGTGAATGTGTTGGAAGTAACAGAATTTTATGTTTCATGCATCTGGAATAAAGTAGTGAGGGCCAGAGAGCCACTGTTGAAAAATTCATATAAAATGTGGTAGTATCTAGGTGACCCTTCAAACATTATGAGGACATAGAAACAAACTGAATGCAAAGTAATAATATCTAACAATGTTTTTGTGCAATAAAAATTTCTCTGTCTTTCATTAACCAATCACATTCTCTCTAATCCCGGAAATCATGTCTATCCTACATAAAATTAAATTAATGTTTCAGCCCAAATTGTGATCTCGCCCATAAGAACATGAGTAAGAAAAGCACAAAAGGTTTCTTGACCAGGTTGGAGCCTGACATCACCGAAAGATAACAACTATATGATGGGACAGCAATTCAAGGTTTTACATTAAAATGTTTAACAAGAATTGAGAAGGATGGCTGCCATAAACAAATCTGTGAGCATGTACACTTACCTTCGCAGCTGGAGATTTGTGCAACACTGCGGTAAGGGCTTGAATGGTGGATACTGCCAAGGAGTCTAGTTTTCCCTGAAACACCTGAAAGCAGCAGAGGCAGGTTATTTACAACCATATTAATCAGAATTCTGCTCTGAAGGGTACCCTGTGCACTTCTGCCAGGATGAAAACCAGAGTTAATTAACATGCTTTACAATCATCACCCCACCAATATGGATTTCAGACACCACAACCTACATAACTGATACAAAACTACACACGAAGCTCAAGAGAAGGAAAGAAGCATTCACACACGTTACAGTAAAAGAGTCTGATGGACAAACAGACAAACTTTCCTCATGCTGTTAATGGACAATCTCAAGAGGGAGGGAGGAAAAGAAAATAAACAAGCGCTTGTACTGTATGTGTGCACTGCAAAAATATGTAGTTTTCAGACCATCAGTTCTTTAAATAAATGGAGATTAACAGCATTTTAATCTCCTGCATACACCAAAGCAACACACACACACACACATTAGAAGCGATTAGTTATACCAAAACAGTACAATAACTTCACCTATTACATCCATCCTAGAGGATGACACACTGCTTCCAAACCAAATGAGTCTCAAATAATTATTTCCCTTATATTTTTTCTATTAGTTAATTCCTCTGAATATTTTTCACGATAATTTATAAAACCAACAATCTGTCATATACTAGCTGGTCCCTTTGTAAACCTGACCAGTGGAACTATGCAAATGAACAGACTCCATTTAATGATCTCAGAAATACCATGCTGCATATTGGACAATAAGAACTCAAAATTAAAAAACGACATTAGTGAATAAATGTTTACATGCATATCCTCACTCTGAGTTACCAATAGGATTGGCTATTTTAAACAGAATCAAGCTATCTAGATTACATATTTTCATGTACTCAGCACTGCATTATCCATTTTAACGAGACCAAATCCAACATCCTTCGTGCTCCTATAAGGAGTGGTACAATAAGAATTTGCATTTGATGTTTTCCATTCTGCTAATGGATATTCAAGACAACAGAGACTCTTCTCACCTCCCACATTCAGCCTGTCCATTGTATCGGGAACATCTGTTCTTGACGGCAAGCAAAGAATCAGGACATCAACTACAACCATACAGATTCACAAACAAAGCCCCAGAACCCAAGAGATCACCGTGCTGAGACAAAGAAGCAAAAAAGAAAAAACGAAATCACCACCAGGTTGATAGTGTTGACACTAGGATTCTATTCCTGTACTTCACCTTCCTCACATTAAAAAAAAAAAGCACAATTTATACTGAATATCTACAACTTGAGGCATCTCCATGCATGTGAAGTCATGGGTGTAATTTGCTAATCATAAAAGATTACTTTTCAAGGACAACAAGCATTAAGTCTATGCAGCAGTCTGAATTCATCCAGCTGCAGCAATTTGGGGAGGATGGAATAAGTAAAGTACAGGAATCACTTTTCCGCTGACTGCTATTCTGTCTTGTCTTCAAGTGAAGCAAAATTGGGTAAGTACCTGATCCTCATTCATTTCTGTCAGTAATTTGTTGGCAAGGTCTTTTTCACTCTTGTCTGCCACCTTATTGTTAGCATTTAAAAACAGCTGTTAGAAACAGAGACAAGAATAATGGAAAGAGGTACATTAAATATTACCTGCAGCTAATATTATGAAGTCTGGAGTGAATTTATGTTTTACTTACAGCATACACAATCTCACACTGGTGAGTTACACAATTCTTAATATCAGTCTTTTGTTAATTCTTTCAATATTACAGCAAACTATTGATAAATATTCATTACTTTATTCTCTTTCCCAGAAAAAAAGCAAAAGATGTAATTGCTGAGACACAGAAACAGTACTAATGACTTTTTAAAATAAAATATTTTTATTACTGGCTTAGTGTTCTTAAACACAAGGGGTAGAGGGATGCAGATTAGGCAGGCTGACATTGCAAATGAGGCAGGGATTTAAATATCCCGCGCCTAACTTGCATAAAAATGGCAGGGGCATTTTGCCAACTTAGCACTTTGTCAGCAAAAAGCGGTAGTCTAGAGGGGGATCTGTGGAGAAAGAAAGCCTTTTTCGACAGATCCTGTAAAACTCCTTGCAGGAGGCACAAGAGATGCAGTCTAGACATATCCAGGGTGACTAAATAGCAGGACTGGAGGCTTTCAATGTTCACAATAAAAAAGGAGGGGTGTGACTTTAAGATATTAGCAATGTGAAGGGTGAGAGAAGCACAGCTTCCTCGTTTCTTTCCTTATGTTTCCTCTTGTAGGAGGGCTGAAGTGACACTAAGCACCCAGAGATGCCTACTATACACTTCAGAATCCAGAGGTAGCAATGGCAGCAGCTTTGTGAGGGACACAATCTTCAAGAGAGGAAGGATTCAGGAAAATTATCAGTCATCCTGATGAGTTGGCAGCTTGGCAAGAACTTAAACTCAGTGACTCAAAGCTGAATTATTCTGAAGTTTTTTCCTCTTCTGCTTTCAGATGCAAGTTAAAAGGCTATTAGAAATGCATAGTTTTCCAGACCAAGAAATTTTAAAGTCCCTTAAAAACAGAGAACTGTGACAGATAGTCACATTTCTGAGAAAATATCCACCAGAAAAAATGCAATGTTAAGTGAAAAACATTTTTTAAACCACTTATTTAGTACTTACAGAAGATTGTATGTTCAGTATATGAAACCCCATTCTGTAATTAAGGACAAACACAGGACGAGAATAAAAAGATACTATTCTGCACTACAGAAATAATAAAAATCCCCACAAATTTAGAAACATTGCTTAGTTTGAAAAGCATTTGTCATGACCAAAGTTGTTATACTTTTAGTAACACTGCAGAATAGCAACAACATGCTTAAAGAGTTAGAGCATTAGTAACTGAAGATAAAACACACCAACAGGAAGCAAGATAGACATTAAAAAACCCAAACTCATTTCTTCTAACAGAAAAATAGCAACTAACGATTTTAAAACCATGTATTTATTAAAATGCTCAAATAGATGGCCCTCTCTGATTTTGAGATTTTGTATCCAGAAGATGATTCATAGAGGAATAAATGTTTTCTTAGCCCACATAAGGCTGCGCATGGTAACCACTGCTATTCTTAAAAATAGATCAGATTTGGAGAAAATTTTCCCATGAACATAAAATATATATAAAATGTAAAAGGATACATGAAGTAATGTCAGATGTTCTTAGTTTATCAATAATGCCCTTTTCTACACCTATAAAGTTATTGCAACGTTTCAGAGGACAGCCCTGTTTAAACTGGGCTTCAGATCAGATAAATTGGGTTTCAGATCAACATCTGAACTGGTTGAACAAATTTGAAAAAAGTCACGCTCTGTATCTCCAGCTCCAAAGAAGAGGAAAAGAGGAGATATCTTTCTTCCTAAGCTTTGAATTCTTCACAGAAGATAGATGAACTTCAGCTAAAGAGGATTTGCAAAGCTGAAGAGCATTTTGAGGTAAGACCAGAAATATGCCTCTATTAAATGGCTCCTGGAAGTATTCACAATGGAAATCAGTTTTTATTTCCTTTTTATCCTCTCCCCTCTTTGCAAGTATCCCAGTCTCCAGGTTCACCAATACACAACGTATTCTGTTGTGTAAAGAACTACTGCTGGCATTTCTGTTATCTTCAGTGTTATACATTTGGGTGTCACCAATGAACCCAGAAGTATGACAGATTTTCAAGAATGAGGAAAAAATATTTTCAGCAAGATTCTACCTAATTAGTGGAGGCACTTGACAGAAGAACGGTACTAACTTCACAACTGAGTTTATCTTTGTAGTCAGCCTTTAAAAGATCATTGTACTATGTTTGGAAAATACATGACCTTGCCCCCTTGGGGTTATTTACATTGTTAAAAAAAAAAAAATGTGCACAAATTTGAAAACTCCAAAGAAACCACTCAGTGTTGTAACAACAACAAGAAGAATCCATTATACAGTACAAAGGTGTAACAACTATGAAGAGTTCTGCTGACAAAAAAAGTGAAATTCAAGGAAAAGAGAATGGTTGAAGCACAGGCCATAGTACAGCTGATACTGAAGTCAATGGGAATACTGCCATTGACATCAGTGGGAGCAGAAGCAGATCTGATAAGAAAAATCTAAATCTCTCTTTTACCACACCGTTGCAAATACTATACGGTCAGTACAGAATAGGGAAGTTAAAATGTGTATAACTGATAAACTGAAAAAAATGCTGAAAATTTTACAATTACAGATGGGGCAGTAGTCAGCTCTCTGGGGGCCAGCACACGTTGGGAGCTGACTTCTCAGCCAGCTCCTGCAGCACACTGGCTCCCACTTACCACCCCGCTTCCAGAAGCAGCAGCGCAGGATGGCAAGCGGCTCCCCAGCAGACAGTGAACTCCAGGAGCCAGCTTTTAAGCTGGCTCCCCACACATACTAGCTCTGGGACGCAGTATAAGAGGGAGCAGCCAGCTATCCAGGAGCAAGATCGGGAGCCGAGCAAGATCGGGAGCTGCGAGTAGCCGTATGGGGACCGATAAGCTCATGTCTCCAGGTTACACATTAAAACGGCTACACTCTTACATTCCTAGTTCAGAAACAGTTACAGATTCTCAGAAGGAAGTACCCAAAACAAAACAAACCCACACACACCTTGGAAAGACCAAACAATATACTTTTACAAGAAGTTAAACACACAAAACACTATACAACACACTCAATATGGTTACCAATGAAAATCAATCAGAATTTTGTCCTAACAAATCAATTTAAGCAAGAACTGGGTCAAAATTTACACTTGGGCATTTAAAGTATTATTCCATTTAAATATTTTCTAACTAAATGGAATATTGTACAATAATTCCCACACTGTAGCCAGAATTAAATTATCTGGAACCCTTCAATGCAGCCACATCAACAAGATTCGTGGTATGCACAAAACAAAAAGAAACAAAATTCTAGGCATTAGGCACTATTCACATTTATGTAGCATAACAACTTCATGAAATGCCCTGGCTTACAATCAATGGCCATCTGGGATTAATATTGAAATATGAATACTATGTTCCTTCTAAAAAGAAAAGGCATTCAAAGAATAGCATTTTATAACAAATTAAACTCTTTCCTAATCTCAGCTATGTAGAAATTCACAGCACATATTCTGAAACCTTTGCAACTGAACGCTATTTTTTTTTTTTTTTTAAGAAATGCATCCCTGAAAGTAGACATGAATTCACCTAATAGTTATAAGTAACTTCTCAGAGTAGGGAGACTGATTTTGATACTAATCGTAACAAAATTTGGAGATGAAATATATACAGGAATTTTTCAAAGAGAAACTCTGAGCATTCATAAGTCAGTGTCTTGTCATCAATACAAGCACGCTTAATATATTTGGAAGACAAGATGTACTTCTACTTCATAAATTACCCATACTTTTAGCTTTTGGCACAAGTCCAATACTTGATACTCACAAGGATTTAATTTAAATTTAAGGCCAAGATACAAAGATGAACACTTGTGTCTGATCTCAATAAAATGTCATGCTTCTTATAAGTTAATAATAATGGGAAAAATGTACCTTGCAATTCTGCAGTAGTCGGATGAGATGCTCAAAGCAGTTACTATTAAGGAAAATGGCCTGCAGAACAGGCCTATCAGTGCAGTCTAGCATGGCTGTGATGGTGTCTATCAAAATCAAAATCATAAACATAAAAAAGTTACACTAATCCTTAAGCATTTCTTTTTCATTATACAGTTGACAAATTTAGAAACAAAACATAGACGGTTCCATAGGAAAAAAAAATGTATGCACTGAGTAAGGAAGCAAATGCTTATGAGGTAGTTGAGTAGGAACTCAACTAGTCGCTCCCCCTCTTGCTGCTTCTTTCACAGAGAGGCAGCAAGGGCTACCTCTGCAGGGGGTAGAGGAGGCAAGGGGCAGCAGGAAAACAGCACAAGCGGGGATTGAAACAGTCCCACTTGCACCTGTCCCAGTGCTGCTCCTCTCCCTTTGAAATGTACAAAGCCGCCTGGGTAGAGGGAAGCTGCTGTATATTTCAAAGGAGAGGGACAAGAGCCATGGGCGGTTCTTGTACATTTCAAAGGGAGAGGCGCAGTGGGATAGCGAGCACCCTCCTTATCGACTGATCGAGTTGTCGATGGAAATTCCATCGACTACTTGATTAGCTCATTAATCAAAATGTAACATCCCTAGCACTGAGAACCACAGTTGAAAACTGTGATTGCTTTGATAAACACTGAAATGAATTCCAGCATACAAAGCAGGTCTTGAGTAAAACATTCTGAGGCAGCAGAAACCAACATGTTACCTGCTGTATCTGGAGGAAACTTCAGTTACGGAATATCTTGTGTTGAGATGCTGTTTAAAATCATTGTCATTTGCAGATATACAAGAAGTATGCCTTCTTATTTAAAAACACATAGAAATACTTGCTTCCTCATCAGCCAGTTATTCCTCAACATTCCCAAGTAATCTTATTTGCCACTAGTCAGTATTATCCAACACTGTGGAGCCTGTGCTGGTGCATAAGCCCTGCCCCACTGCAGGATTGGAGCACACAAAATCTACTAGCCTGGCCCCCCCTAGGCTCTAGTGTGCAAGGGGAGCGTTTCTCCTCAGTCAGGGGCCATGTCAATCAGGGGGTTAGGTTCTTTGTGTTTTCTGAGGGTCAGTGGCCCCTGACTCAAAAAAGGTTCCTCACCCCTGGTTTATGGCTACTCTTTCATCTGAAGGATGCAACCTAGGGATGTTCTGGAATCTCCATCACTTTTTAAAAACAAGTTAGACAAGCACTTGTCAGAGACGGTCTTGTTAAAACTTAGTCCTGCCTCAATGCAAGGGACTGGACTAGATGACTTTTCAAGGTCCCTTTCAGTCCTACATTTCTGTGGGTCTATGTAATTATTTGAATTACACAACTAAAAATTGCAAACAGCCACCACAATGGAATAGCTTAAATATTCCAGGTATTTCCTTTTATCTATGGTGTTAACTGCAGCCTCTCAGATGCTGTAGCGTGGAAGCTGTTACCAAATGACTTTTTAATCGAGTCCAAAACAAATACCATATTTTCTAATCTTTTTTCATTGCCTCTAAACTCTCTGTAGGAGGACATCCTTAGGCCAAAAAGTAACCAGAAATTTCTGGTTAATATGTTTTTTAATTAAAAGTAAATTAGCCCATATTTCAATTAATTTCAACAAGAAAATACTCAATTTCATACCTAAGTAACATGACAACACTAATTATACTTGCTCAAAATCACTTCATTTAAAACTTACGAAAATTTTAATAAAATTAAAGAGGAATTGTCTGGATGCATCACTCACTCAGCATTTGGATCTGTAGTGCAATGAACCTATTCTCCCACTGCCTAGATCTCCTGGAGTTGGGCAATGCTGAATGGTCTGAATTAAGCAACTTGAAATAGTTCTCCAGTATGGTGCTGGTCTCCACTTGCCGCTGGTCTGAACTACTGGTGAGAAGGATATGCACTACTTCTGTGAGGCACTTAAGAGTCAGCTCAGCCTTCCTGCTCACTTCCTCAGGATCCTTATCATCCCAGGTGTCACAGTCTGCCAAAACACGCATCAAGACTTCCATGGTGGCAGGAGATATGGCTTGAAGAGCATTTCTCTGAAAACCACAATAAAAACATCTGTATTTTAATCTGAGCATTGAATCTCTTCCAAATACTTAAAATCAAGAAATTTCATTTCTGAATGATACAAGAGATCCATATTCTAATACAAACAACACTAACAAGAGCATTGTTAATTTAGCTCCTCAGTCATCTATGACTGTGTTGATCAATATAGGTTGAGCCAAATCCTGCTCATTTTACTCACTTAGGCTTAATGGCTTCAAAGGGTATATTTACAGGAGAAAAAACAGGATTTGGCACTATATATTGTGAATAATGTATAAGACAAGAGTGTTATCAGCACATTAGGATTACGTATTTTATTTAAAATATTCTGAAAAACAATTTTTTTCTAATAATATTAACCCACTTATTTTCTACATAAATGTATGCAAACTCTAAACTTCAGCTTTTGTATTTCTTGACTTTGTGTTAAACTCTATAACCTGGCTCTGCCCCGGGCTTCGTGGAATCAGCCGCTGATCAGTTTCAACAGCGGCTGAATCTGGACGCCTGGGGCAGAGCAGCTGGGGCGCTGCTGGGTTGGTCCAGTAGCGCCGCACGTCGGCACTGCAGGGACCCACCTGGCAGCACCCCAACTGCTCTACCCCAGGTGTCCCCAAGTCAGCTGCTGCTGAAACTGATCAGCGGTTGATTCCAGGAATCCCGGGGCAAAACAGCTCTGCCTTGGGCTTCCTGTAGTCAGCCGCTGTTCAGTTTCAGCAGCAGCAGAATCGGGGATACCTGAGGTACAATATGCACCAGTTCTGACTTGCATACAAATTCAACTTTTGAACAAATCTACAGTCCCTATCTTGTACGTAATCCGGGGACTGCCTGTATTATCATTTGATACCTCCGCGTCTCCCTGGTCTGCTGGGGGGAAGCACGCCCCCCCCCCGTTCGTAATTAGGGGTCCGACTTAAGTTGGACTGACGTAACCCGGGGACTGCCTGTATTCCTGTTTTTAAATTAGTAGTGTTTAGCTATATGTCTAATATACATTGATATCAATGTAAAAGGGATGTTTATTTTACTTGCAAGTTACTTAAAGAACGTCAGTTACTTGTTTCTATAACTGGTGTTCTTCAAGCTGTGTTGCTCACTTCCTGTAAGTTTGTGTGGTCGCCACATGCAGTTGTTCCAGAAGATTTTCCCTCAGTAGTACCCGTAAGGACTGGCTTCAGCACCCCCTGGAGATGTGTGCATGTACCATGCTATATAGGGGCTGCCATCGGCCTCCTCCTATCCACAGTTCCTTCTTGCTTGAAACTCTGATAGTGGGGAAGGTCCATTCAATTTAGGTGTGTGGTGGGAAGAGTTTAAAGACATGCCGATTGAAACACAACATTGCTGCAAGATGGTGGAGTGTGTCATAAATGTATGAACCGAGGATCATGTCACAGCCTTGCAGATGTCCTGAATGGGTTTATGTCAGGAAGCCTGCACCTACGTTGAGTGTTCCCTCACCAGTGGAAGAGGCTAAAGGACTTCCAGGTCATAGCATACCTGGATGCAACAGGTTATCCAAGCTGGAGATTGTCTGCGTGGATATTAGGAGCCCTTTTATTCTATTGGCACAAGTGACAAAGACCTGGGATGATCTGTGAAAGAACCTGGTGCAATCCAGGTAAAAGGTGAGCACCCCAAATCCATAGCGGAAGGCCACAACTGCTGCCAGGGTTGACCTTGATCGAGGCAAGTCTTAGACCTTGGTCTTTCAAGTGAAGGAGATATTCAAACATGGATTGTATAAAGGCCTCAAAAAGGGACCCTTTCTGTGAAGCCCATATAGAGAATCTAGCTCATTTCGCCAAGTATGTCAACCTATTAGTTGGCCTCCAGATTCAGCCACAAAGTAGCCACGCTGAAAGGTGGAGGCTGCGAAGTTGTGGTGCAGGAAGTGATCATGCGAGGGACTGCTCCAGCCCACTAGTTATTCATAACTAGTAAGCATCACCCGGTAAGGGTGATGCTTACTGGTTAACCATTCACATCCCTAGTCCCAATCCCACTAATACACATACAACCAACTAGCCCACATATAATTGTTGACAGAGGTGTTCTGTAAAACACTCTTGTCTTTGATATCTTCTAAAAACCATAAAGTTTACAAGATGAACAGAGGAACCCTACAGGTTGTAATAGCTGAGATTACGTTACAATATTTCTTAATATTCTCTCACCTGTCCACCCGCCACAATGGCTCCAAAGAGATGTAACAGGCAACACTTCAGGCTTTCCTTGAGATGTTCACTTTCTTGGAAGCATTCTATTGAAATAAGAGAAAACATAATTTGTGTATTGCAAAATAAGGAGTCTCATATCTTTTAACCTCTCCCCTCAAAAGAAAGTGAAATACCACTTATAAACAGGCTTAAAAAACTCCAATATGGAAATGCCCTCACTTCTTGCAGTGTAGTTGGATCAGTCCCACACTGCCTGATGTTGCTCCTGTTAAAAAAACATGGTAAAATGTCTGATTGCAATAGTGGTATGCACGGGCTCGTTGTCCTGTAACTTTGTTCATACCATGACCTGACAAACTGCTTACAAATAGCCTTAGGAATTTTTCTGAACTGTAACTATTAACCTGGAAGTTGTTGCTATAGCAATAACTTCAGACACACAGAGTAGCTGCAACCAAAACCACCAAGGATTATTTTGTTTGGAATTAGCCCCATGAGAAACTTTCAATAATGTCTTAAGCCAGCACAATGTCAATTTTAAAGAGCCAGAATAGTCAAACAAAAAACTGAAAAATACTAGAATAATTCAGTGCAGGCTACAATAAAACAAATCTATGTAATAGATTTAACATTAGTGCTATACATATACTAAAACGATCAGCCCACTTTACCAGTATAAAGAGAAATACTTCAACCTGTTGAAGTATTGATTGTTTTCATTTTTCCTGGTTCATTCTAAGCATTCATTTGCTCTTTTATACTAGTGCATTTTGCCATAAACACAAAAAGGGAGAGAGAAAAAAAGAATGACCTGCAACCACTATATTCAGAAAGTAGCCTTTATACTAAATCTCCACTCTTAAATACATGGTATTTTGAATTAAATTACCAAAATAACTGAAAATGGTATGATTATATTGTGTTATTTTGACAAAATAAAATGCAGAATTTCACAGAATTCAAAAACATTGTGCTATTTCAATTTTTGGCACAGAATTCCCTCAGGATTAAATTACTGTATGTTCTAGACCAAAGGTGAGGTGAGGCCACTCCCAAGATTCTGGAAAGTAGTCGAGGGCCACACTCTTCCATGATATTAATGGAGATGTGGGGTCTGGGATGGAGGTAGGTTGCAGAAGGGAGCTTGGGGTAAGTGACTGGGGTGCAGGAGTCTGGAGATGCAGGACTGGAGTCTGGGAGGGAGTTGGGATAAAGCAGGCGGTTGTGACCTAGGGCAGGGAACCGCAGTGCAGGGGTTTGGGATGTGACCCTGGGTAGGAGGGGATTGTGATCTGGGACAGGAGACTGGGGTGCCAGATCTGGGAGAGGATATGGATGTAAGAGGGGGACATAGGGTTTGGATATGTTGAGTGGGGGGAGGGGCAGAGAGTTGGGGCAGGAAAGGGCTGGGGGCCCAGAAGCAGGCTGTGGCCAAGAGACTTACTTGTCAGCTGCCAAACTAGCCTTCCTGCCTACAGAGCTTAAAATGTTTCCCAGCCAGTCAGCTTACTTGCCTGGCCATGTGCTTCATCATGAATAACTGAGCCCAGCCTCTTCTTAGCTGCCTATTAGTCTAACAAGCAGCTCACATTGGCTGGTTTCTTCTGCCAGAAACCGGCCAATGGAAATGTGCTTAGGGCGGGGCAGCGCCTAAAACTTTCCCCCTCCCCTCCAGTTTCAAAACAGAAACGTAGCCTGCAGCCACTTTTCTGCCTGGCGCATGGGGCTGCGGGGCAAGCCGGGGAGCCTACCTGGAGCTCCCCGCTGCCTCCGCGGGCCGGATCAGGTAGCTTGGCAGGCTGGATGTAGCCCACGGGCCATATTTTGCACAGGCGTGTTCTAGACTAACAGTCTATTTAAAACAAAAAACAGGACTATGTAGCACTTTAAAGACTAACAAGATGGTTTATTAGATGATGAGCTTTCGTGGGCCAGACCCACTTCCTCAGATCAAATAGTGGAAGAAAATTGGAAAGCACATTGTCTCAATGACTTAATTACCTGCAGCCTGCTTCAAAAGCCTTTCAAGAATACTCTTGAAAGAGAATCCTCTGAACTGTCATTCATACTCAAATTCGACACTTTACACTTAGGTTTGAACAGACTCTAATTACCTTACCCATTACAAAGACAGCTTCCCCATTATCACCTCTAATATCATTAGCTCACAGATATTTACCTCCCTCCTACATCCCCCTTCTGTTCTGAAATTTGATTTGTCCTTTTCATGTGTGTTCATTTTTTTTAATTGTATCCTTTGGTATATATGGTTGTGACAATTTTCTTCTACTATTTGATCTGAGGAAGTGGGTCTGGCCCACGAAAGCTCATCACCTAATAAACCATCTTGTTAGTCTTTAACGTGCTACATAGTCCTGTTTTTTGTTTCAGCTACACCAGACCAACATGGCTACATTTCTATCACTAGTCTATTTAAAAGTGTCTCGTAATACAATATATGACTCACCCCTGAAGCCATTTGTACCATTAAAAACATCTTAACTCAAACACACAATGGACATAGCGACATTTAATGACAGAAGAAACACAGCTCAGTCCAGACGCTGACAAACTATGGTCCTAGAAACATTTGCTGCTTACGCGTCAAAGGCAGCTGAAAATGACATTTCCATGCCATAATTGCTGTTGTTGCCATAGTGATGTTATATGAACACAGATGGAAAGGCATGTTGCACATGCAACAGCAAATGAGACTGTAGGTGATCCATCAGACTCATATTGCACTATGAAAATGCTTGAAAGATCCAGACCAAGAAAGTCCACAATACCACGGATGAGCATGGCATGATGATGGCACTCAAAACAAAGCCAAATTCTTAGGTACAAAAAGAAGTAGAGTACACTTCAATAAGCCCTCACCTTGCAAAGGAAACAGAAGGCTTTTGGCACTTATCAAATGTTTACAGTGGGACTAGAAAAATAGCACCGAGAAGTTTGTTCCTTTGTTTCTAAAACACACTGGCAATATTACTTACGGTAAAAGAAAGGGATGAATTCCACTGTGAGGGAGGCAGGTTTATACTTCTGTCTGCTCTTTTCCACACTACTCAGGATTCGCCTACAATAAAAAAAATTATACAAGAGAATTCAGAGATGGCACCAGTTTTTATTTGTGACTAGGACACAAATGCATTGCAGAAATGAATTACAGTTTTTTTTCCTACAAGAGCGAAAAGAAAGAATAAAGAGTTTTCACCCAGAAAACTGAACAAACTAGTCCTGTGTTCACTGCTCCCCACGTAGAGTGGCTTAACATCTAACAATAGGGTTTTGGGTTTTTTAAAAATAAACATGCTATTTGATCTTAACTACAGTAGCCAAGCCACCAGCTTGACTGCCAAATTTCTACACCATGCAATTTGAAAATGGACAAGTAATTGTATTAGGAATTTATTATGGAAAAAACATTTAATTTTAAGGAAAATTACTGATACTGCTTTTAAATGTTCATTTCAACTATTATTATATTAGCTATTTAATCTTATAAAACCAAAAAGGATTCCTTCTCTCATACTTTTCTCTCTTCATTCTGGCTTCCATCTCCTACCAATTCAGAAAAAAGTTCAGTTTTTGGAACACAAAGAAATTGAGAGCTTGAAGTGGATCAGCTGAAATCAAACTCCCTCTGCATGAACATTCAGCCTTTTTCTTGATAATACATGGGTGATAAATGAAATTATTTGCATGAACAAATGTATTCAAGCTGTATTTCAAACGTTCGTAGAACACGGTTATGTAATTCAATGCTTCTGACTCATTGTGGACTTCTGCATCTTAATTAAATAAAGCCTTATGAGAATGACGACTTCTACCCATTTAAAATGCTTAAGCACAAACAACAAGACAATAAGAATCATTTGACATGTTCAATTTGAAAATACTTTTGTATTATGAAGGAGGACTACCATGTGAACTGTGGTATCAATGTCTCGTATAAAACTAGAATTCCTGTGTCCTGCAAAAATGTAAGAATCACGGCTTCTGAAGTGTGCTTTTTTGACTTTGTGCAAAATAAAACAGGACCATCTTGCAGTCCATCATGACAATATTTTAACTGACTATGGCATGGGTTCTCAGACTTCACTGCACAGTCACTGCCTTCTGACAACAAATATTAGGATATGCCTTATACACCACTACTTTAATTTCATCTTGCAAAAACAGCAGAAAGGTTTCTGTAAATGCTAAAAATCAAAGGATGTGTGTGTGTGGGGGGGGTATATATGCAATAAGGCTTTGCAACAACTTCCGGACCAACTGACATGACGCACTTTATTAAATAAGCAGAAAGTAGGACGCAGACAATAAATAAAGGCTCTAAGAGAGGAATAGTTTTGTCCTGATAGAATGTCTATGCAACACAGCGTACCTTTGGAGGTCAGCAGAATTTTATAATATGAAAGTAGGCATTCAGAAGATCCAGGGATCAAATGCACTTCCCACATTTTGAGAATATGAACAATGGAAGAAGTTGCTATTATAAAAAGGTGTGCCCCCTCCCTTACAAATTAAATTGGTGAACCACAAATTTCTCCGCACACACACCAAATAGCTGCCCCTACACAGCTGCTAGAACTACTATCCATTTCTCCACAGATGTATCATTAGCTTGCCTCCTTAATTCTCTAGTAACAAAAAAGGTAAAAGACATTTGGATAGATGAAGTCCTCAGATGCACTTACATACATTCAGGGGCAGATGACCATTTTGCGGGGCCCCAGGCAGCATAATTCCGCGGGGTCCCCCCTTTGCCACGGCACATGCACGGGGCTTTTTGAAGCGCGGGGCCTGGGGCGGCCGCCCCGCTCACCCTGCCCTATATCCGCCCCTGCATACATTTTCCATAGATTTATTCTTTATTATGCAACATCACAAGGCTGAAAAGAAAGTTACAAGCTTTGTTCATAAGGTTCACCAATGTAAGAGCTTTTGACGGTAAAACAGTACTTATTAGCTGAAGATAATCTGCATAGAGTCTAAATTGATTCGATCCTCAATAAGAAATGATCAGGAGGAGAACAGAATCATAAAATAAGTATACAGAATGAATCTGCATTACTCATAGAGCAGGAAACACATATGGAGTAAATTTCTTTTACTAGTTGGCTACATACTATAGACTAAACTTCAGAAAAAATTGCTACTATTCAGGATGAATTGTTTAGTGCATATCATACTGCAGCTTTGTGTTGCGGTCCCTTTGGCCCAAATGGCTAGCCAATATTTAGGGAATTACTGGGTTGTTTCTATTAGGAGGAGAAACTTATGAGCCAGAAATGTGTTTGGGACATTACTGTTGAGACCTCATCTGGAATCCTACATGCAACTCTGGTCTCGTTTAAGAAAGATGAATTCAAACTGGAACAAACATGGAGAAGGGCTACGAGAACGATCAGAAGATGGAAAAATCTATGTTATGAGAGGAGATTTGGCTTGTTTAATCTACTGAACGAAGGCTGAGGAAATGACTGCTCTCTATAAATACGTAAAAGTCAAATACCAGGTAGGGACAGGAAATAAGTAAAGGGACAATATTGGCACAACAACATAGGGATATAAACTGGTCATCAAGAAGTTTAGGCTTGATATTAGACAAAGATTTCTAATCATCAGAAAGGAGTAATGCTCTGGAGCAGACTTCCAAGGGGGAACACAGAGAGAATGGGGGATAGAACCTAATAGGATTCAGAACTGAGCTAGGTAGGTTTTTTGGAGAGGACTATATGACGAAACTGCCTACAATGATGCCATTCTATGGCTACTATCTAACACTGCAGTTATTCCCAATGTCACTGCTGGGACCCTAGATGATGAGGTCTATGAGTTACTACCAAGACATCTTTTCCAGGTGCCTGGCTTTTGTGTCTTGCCCACATGCTTAGGATCTAACTGATCACCACATCTGAGGTTGGGAAGCAATTTTCCCCCAAGTGAGATTGGTGGAGACTGTAGGGATTTTTGCCTTCTTTAAAGCAAGGAGCCTGGTTACTAGTATAAATGGTGTATTCTCTGTAACAAACTCTGTAAATGACGATTTGAGCACTTCTCAGCCAGAAGTGAGAAGTCTATTACAGGAGTGCGCGAGTGAGGTTCTATAGCTTCCAGAAATCCTCTGTACAGGAGGTCAGAATAGATTAACATAGTGGTCCCCTCTGGCCTTAATGTCCACCAACCTGTGTAGATTAATAGTGGAGCACACACAGGGACAAATCTTGAAGAATTCCAGTTAAATCACAAGGTATAACTCTCTTCTTTGAGTAGTACCTTTACGAGTATTCCACTGTAAGTGAGTCCCTACACTGTAGGTCAGTCCCTTTTAAGAAGGTGAAAATTCAGAAAAAAAGAGTCCGCCACTGAAAAAAGAACTGTGATGTCTACTGCCACATCTGATCTTGCAGAATGAATTAAGGCTTGGTGGCTCAAAAACATGTCCATGAAGGAATATGTTGCATCCTTACAGATTTCAGCTATCAGAACATCTTTGATTAGCGCTACAAATGTAGACGTGATGTAACAGAATATGCAGTCCCTCTTAGTGGGGGTATAAGCTCAGCAAAACCATAATACACAATAATGCAGAGATCAGAATGTCTGTGTGTGGAGACTGACAATCTCTTATGCCTTATCCGCTACAGAAAAAAGGGTCTGGGGGGTCTTTCTGTTCAAGTAAAAAGATAACACACTTTACATGTAGCATATGAAGAGCAGACACTGTGTGTAGACAGATGCAGTTTAGGGGAAAAGAAAAAGCAGAAGATGACTAACTTGGTTGACACAAAATTCTTACCTCTGAATTTTATGAGGCTGTAAAGATATCTTCTCTTGGAGAACAAAGTAAAGAGAGGTATGCCATTAGAGTCATTCCAAGCCTTCAAGGAGAAGTCATGGCCACCAAGAAAGTTATCTTCATCACAAGTAGATATAGCAGCAAAGACATTGCTAATGGCTCCGTATTGTTTCATGAGACAATAAAGAATGAAGCTGAGATTCTTAACCAGCTCTAATATGCAGAGAAAGATTAATAAGTCCTTCTTAGAAATCTTGCGATGGTCTGATGAGCAAATACCAAGAAACCTACGGGCACATGGAAAGCTGTTATGGTTGTTAAATGAAACTTTACCGAACTCATAGAAAAACTTTTATTTTTCAATTCCAATAGATAATCCAAGACTAAGGAAACAGACAACTGTATGGTAAAAAAAAGGCAATAGTTATGTCAAAGGTTAAATGGTCTCCATTTCAGCAGGTAAATATCTAGTGGCTTCCTTTCTGCTATTTAAGACTATCTTTTGTACTTCCAATGATCTGTAGTTTTGAGCACTGTTCCCTGTAAGATGTGTGCTCATTCAACCGCTCAGGAAAGATTCAAACGCTGCCCAGGTGATTATCAGAGTGTCCATGGCTATGCTTTTTGTTTCTGCTGGTGGTGCACACACTCACATGCCTCGGCACACATAAATTACTGCTCACATGGATGGAAAAGCTTTGGGGAAACATTCACCTGAGAAAAACTGAGGAAGCAAGCTCATAGTTGCAGGATGTTCAAACTAGGGTAAAATGTCGAACTCAAGCTAAGACAAGACTTGATGTTTGATTAGGAGCCACCTCAGAGGGCAAGAGGTGAATTTCATGAAGTAAGGAAAGCAAACTTGTCTTTGTTAAGTTGGTGCAATCAACTGCCTTTGATTTAGTCCTATCTAATCTTAAGGACATTTATGAACAATGGAGTTGGAGGATACCTCTTTGCCCATGTTTAAAAGGTTGCTCTACTTGCCGCTGAATGGCACCACCTCCTGGCAGTTCTGGAGATTAGCTGAGACAGGTTGATGAGTCTACTCAGTGGTTAGACCCTGTTAGTACCTCTCACACTCTCGGGAGCCACAGCTGTCCTCTTCATGATTCAGGCCTCTGGGTCACTACTGTAGATTCCCCTTTCCAGGGCAGGGAGGGAGGATGGGTATGAAAGTTCCTGCCCTCCAGCAGTCTCAGGCAGCCTTCTGCTTCACTACCCCACAGTGCCACTCCTGCAGTGGTTGGCAGGGGAACCCGAAGTCCAGGTTCTGGTTCAGGGACCCTCTACACAGCAACCAAGGTCTCTTACCTGCACCTTGCTGTCTTTCCTTGAGCCAATTCCACCTTCACCACTGCCCTGGGTTTGCCAGTCTTTCCACTCCCTTCTCCCAGGGAGTAACTTCAAGCAGCTTGTCTCTGCAGCCCCCAAACACTCCTCCCTTCTCCCAGGGAGTGACTGCAGACTTCACCTTGCCCCCTCCTCTGTTTACAATTTCTTGTCTTCTGTAGAAGCCCCACTTGTCCCTTACATGTGAGGTTCTAATGTATTTGTTCTATCCAGCCTAAAGTTCCACACTTCGCAAGCTGATAAACTGACCGGGCCCACGTGTCCTAACTCAGCTTTGGAAAGGCCATTGTGGGGAGCACACCCCATGTAATGAGGAAAGCTTCTCCATATGGAACTGAATTTCCTACACTTCGTGTTTGTCCTCTGGAAATCCACAATCTAGGAATATTTTGTTGATGACACAGGAGTCCAACTCCCTTTCCACACATAATTTAGAAAGAAATGTCTACTCAGGTGATCTGCCATGGTGTTTTGTATCCAGGAGAAGTAAGAAGCCAAGATGACCATCCGCTTGGCATCACCCATTCCAAAGCCTTAGCGCTTTACAGCAGAGTGAAGGGTTCTGCCCAGATGACGGATATGCTATGCTATGCTGCCTGTCATGATCTTGATGGTCTTTGAGTAAGGGAAGAAAGTGGAGGCAAACATTTCTGACAGCCCTTAATTCCAACAGATTGATGTGAAAGAGCTGTGAACATGTGTCATAGATTCCGCAAGGGCCCAAATTGGCTCTTCATCCCAATAGGGTAAGCATCCAATGCTAATAAGACTATGAGGGGATTCCAGCTGAACAGGATTCCTGCACAAATTTTAGATGAATTCATCCACCAGCTTACTAATTATGTCTTCTCAATCTCAATTTTTAGTACTAAAATTAGGGAACAGGTAGCATCTCTAACAAACCATACATTATTTCAAGTAAACAGAATCCAGCATAAAGCACACACCACTATTAATCTGCTTCTAAACATATACCTCAGGATGTCCTCAGATGGGATCCTAGCTATCTACTCTCTCCAAAACTTTCAAAAAAAAATTGTTTTTATTGGATGGAATTGGATAGATCAGTACTCAATACTTGTGGCAGTATAGTACGGTATCCTAATAAATATGTATGCCTGCTTCACAGTATTGATTTTGATGTGAAGAGATACTTTCTTGATATCTTCATTCACATTTTCAATGCAGAAAATACATTTGAGAAAGCTCACTGGTATCAAATCTAGTCCTCTGTGCTACTAGAACTAATAGCTACTAAAATGCAAGAGCACAACGGTGTCAGTATAAATATGCCTCACTTCAGCTTGATGTGATCATGGTTGCATTGAAACCATTAAATATAATCACAATAACATTTTTAAAAACTGTCACAGTATGTGAAGGCACAGACGAGCCCCGCACTCCGGTGAAATGCCGGGGAAACCCATGGTGGCTGGAGGATGTAGGCGCAGGTGCCCTGAGTGTCCAAGGAACGCTGCCCCGCGTGCTGGCTGAAAGCCGAAAGGACCCTGGGTGGCCAAATGGCGCAGGTGCGGACATCCCGGGTTGCCCAGAAACCCGGCGGGAGAAACCCGGCGGGAGAGGGAGGAGCTGGGCTCCACAGGGGACGCACAACGGCTCCATAGGCGGCGCGGCGCGCACTCTAAAAATGGTGTGCTGCCCATCCAGAGGGAGGAGCTGAGCCTCAGCGGTGGAGGCTCCAAGAATCGCAGGGGAGACGGCAACAAAGGTTAGGGTGCAGGACCGGACTTGCGGCACCCCGGGAGAGATTGCTGGGAAAGTGCTTTGACAGACTTAAATCAACGACAATACCGGAGCGGCGAGCCTGAGACAGAATGAGTGAGACTCGTGGGGGAGAGGAACACACTGACAGCCGACATGACGTGGGGGTAAGGGAAAGCGACAGCGGGATAGGAGGTGGCCCGGAGTGGGGTCTTGCAGCCCGCGGATTGGCATGTTACAAGTAGTTACCCCGCCAATCAATAGGGAAAGGGTAACAATTCGACCCCTTTCCAGGACTCTGGGTTAGGACCCGCTGGAGAGGGCGGGCCCCAGTCATCGTTCCCCCCCCCCCCCCAAAGTCTGGGGAGGGCAAAGGGTTTTTTCTTTTTTTTTTTTAATGTATCATTCGGTGGACTTGGAATTGGACTTCATTGCACAAAAGTAACAAGGGGAACCGGGGAGGGGCACGTCGAGGGGGTAAACCTTACAAAGATCCCCAAAAAGAGGGGGGCCCTCCCCCTTTACAGAAAGGGCTACAGAAAAAGGGGGGTGGCCCACTGTGTCGGGGGGGCCCCCTACACAGTATTATAATTTACCATCTTAGGTTTCACACATACCCTGCAATTTGTTGCCTCCAGTTTCGATACGGATCATAGAGACTTTCACAAAAAGCCAAGGCATGCCTTACAAACTCTTCTACAGGTGACTGATCTGCCATTTCTTTCTCTTTTGTTTTACTTTTTAACTGAAAGAAAAGAAACAGTTATGGTCAGAATGCTTCTAGGAACACAAATTTTTTGAACAAAGTAGTCCACCACCAGAGTTAAGGCTGGGATTCTCATAGGACCTAACGGATGCTGGCCATCCAATTCTCATTGTCTTCCAATTGCATATGGAACTCTACCTCACTTGGGCGCCTTTGAAAATCCCAGTCCAAGCTTGCATTCCAGATATGTAATACACAATGTACTAAAAATAATTATCAACTCAAAGGTTCTACTGTCTCCACGATACATGCGCATAACACTTACTGAGAGTAATGGCAATTTCACGTGTACGCTTTTAGGAATTGACCACCACAATTTTAAGTATTCCCTGCCCAAATACTTCCTAAGCATGGCTGACATTTCCACATACTCCATAAACTGAAGTATTGAAATAATCTCCTGGGTAAAGAAACCAGTTTGTCTCAAATAATTCATTTAATTTGCATTGCTGAGAACACACAAAAACTATTCTGTCAAGACTTTTCATGTTTGTAAAGAAACAGTGAAAAAAATGCATTACAGCCGCTCTCTGAGTTACGAACGAGTTACAAACCAACACTGGGTCCGTAACTCGAACTGTTTGTAACTCGGATCCCATAGAGTTACATGGCGACCGCGCTGTTCGTAAGCGTGGATCGCCGTTCGTAACTTGGATCCACATTTACAACCGCTTTGGTCATAAGTGGAGGTGGCCATAAGTCAGGGAGCGGCTGTACTGATCAAGAACCGGGATCACTATCTATCTATCTATCTATCTATAAAAAACATGCCATGATTGGGTCTTCTCTCTGGCCTTTCAGTAAATTCTGGACTCATCAAAACTAGTACACTTTCTAAATACTTGGCTCTTCTAGAATGCTCTCAGCTAAGGGTTGTAAAGCCCTTGATGTACGAATAAAGCAAGCCTCAAATCATTGCAGTGAGGTGGGCACGTATTATTGCTCTGATTTTAAAGAGGGAAAATAGAGATACAGAAAGAATATGTAACCTGCCTACAGTCACACACACAGTATGTGGCAGAATTAGAAAGAAAATCCACATCCTGTAGTTCCAAGCTTGAACCCTCAATCCTCCTTTTGCATTTCTAGCAGTAATATACATGAGAGTTGTAATTCCACACACCTGCTGAATGTAGAGTGTAGTCATGGTGATAATATGGTTAATGTAGGAGCAAGTCCCAATCTCTTCCACATTTGCCAGATTTCTGTAGAAGCAACATGAGCCACAGGGATTTGTACATTATATTATTATTTGAACGGGCCTCTGAAGCTTTATCTAGCATTCCATATAAAACACAGAAGTGTCAACATTTCAAAAAATAATCACAAAAATAATATACAGTAAAGTTTATTCAGCTCATATGACAATACTATACATATGTCTTTTAGCGAGAAGAAAACCAGAATCCGATGAGAGCTCCATCCCTATCTGATTTATCTGAAATCTCAGATTTCACAAGCTAAATTGATTCACAAAGCGTTCTAAATAAAGAACTCAGAAAGGGAATCTGATACCAAAGACAACTATTACTTCTCTCATGTCATTAAGAAAACTAAACTCCAATGAGTCCATTTTCTATAGGCATCTAAGAGTATACTTTAGAACACTAACCAAATCACACAAGGCGAAAGAAAACCACTCATGCTTGCACACTATAGGTTTTACAAAAACATTTCTCAACTGTTGAGATAAGCTACTACAATATAGAGTTCAGGGACCAAAAAAGGGTATTTTTCAATAAGTGATTAAAATTGACAAAGCACAGAAATCTGAAGCTAGAGCTACTACTGTTTCCTTAACACATCTTTAGTATTTTAGCATAAATTGGGCACAACTATCTCTTGCCATACAGCACCTTTCCATTGTTCTGATGAGGTGGAAGGACCAAAGGTTTGGAAATAGTTCCCAAGGAATATCCCCAGCAAAAGGAAATTTGTCTGGCCAGAGTAGAGCTAGGTCCTCTCTAGACTGCATTATGGGGAAGTGTTGGGAGGTGAAGAGGGGACAAGGCCAGTGAGAGAGCTATGTTCATTTCACAGCTATGTTCATTTCACCAAGGGATAGTCACTGAGAGCAGCTTTGGCTCAGACTCGGTTAGAGATAAAATGGTTGTATTCTTAACTGTTAATGAACAATTTCAAATTTGGGAGAAATGGACTTTTTAGACCCACGCTTTTATGATTGTTTGGTAGATGGTGAAGCAACATCACAAAAATAAGAAACATTTCGGAAGATGCCAGATAAATCAACGAAGCATAAGGTCAATATTTTCAAAATATTTCCTCAACTATTTAAGGGACATATAAGTACGTTAACCAGTTAATCAACTCTCCCTTTTGGAGTTATTTCATGCCAAAAACATATCAGCAGCCTGCTTTCTTTAAAAAAAAAAAAAATCTTATTTCTGTTATGTAATATAGATCTGAACATTCATATACCTAGTTTAATTACAAATAATAGGATGCCATTTTCTCCTCACAATCCATTTCTCACTGTGACTTTCTTAATCCATATTACTGTGGGGGGGGGAGGGTTTCTTTCATTATACCATATCTTGAGTCTCTGTCTCTACTAGACAATTGTTGTGTCACACTATATGTATATTAAGAATCTTTATGTATATAATAGCAAGTGAGTCAAGATTTCCCAGACAAAACAAAATATTGGTGAAAGAAGTGGCTGGACAGAATACCTGCAAAGAATAATGAAGAATTTGACAAGCAAAAGCGAAAGGGCTTGCTGCTCCTCCTCTAGTCCATCTGACATTTTTTGGACACATTGTAGCAGCTGAAGTCTCAGAACCTGCAGAATATTATCAGGAAGCAGTGATATTCCTGGAGGTACATCATCCACCCTTTAAAAAATACATAAAATAATTAGTGTGTGCAAGGAAATTTTTTTATTTTTTTTATTAATACATCTTGTGTATCTATGTGCATTGTATCAAACTATACCACACAAGTCCCCAAATTAGGCTGACTGGGAGTTCACATACATTTGCTGGTGATCCACAGAAAACTTTCTAGTCACATTGTGCTAGCTCCACTTCCTTGTTCTCAGCTGTTAAAATTGTATTGAAAGGCAGCCAAAAATATTTTAAATTGTTTTCTTAACATTACTGTTTCATGTAAGTAACTGCTCTCCTTACACAGCAAAAGTAGGGGAAGTGGTCTGTTCAATCCCAAATCAAGGAGAAGATAATCCAAAGTACCTTTTCTGTACTAAGATTTGAGCAGATAAAAGTAACTAAATACAGTATCAACAACAATTAGGCACTGAAACTCAATTACTAAATGTCCACAGGGATACTCTTTGGTATCCTAAGGCACACAAATAAAGGAGTTTGATGGTAAAAAACTGGAGAATAACTGAGAAAACTGGAAAATAAGGGAGATAGAAAGTCCCTGCAATCTAATTCCTGGAATTTCTTTAGTACATCAATAATTGCTACCCCATCATTATTATTTTCTGGATACAAAACCAGAAAATAGATTTGTTCCTCTACTTATTTTAAAAGGCAAAGAAAAAGAAAGCCCAGCACTGATAATTTGGAATAATCAATGTATCAGAGTCCTACCATGCACAGACGTTACCATAGGGAATCATTAAATACTCTCAACACTTGATCTTGCTATGCTCAAAAGATTTGTATAAAATATCAGAGTGTCTCAGAAAAAGAAAACTGCAAACAAAAGCAAGGCCAGAACACACAACACTACTATAATCAGGTTATTCTGGTTCAACAACATCCTCAGATGGGTTGGAGCAGCAATGTTTACCAGGCTCCTTCGGTCAATATCTCACTCACTGAGTGCAATTTGCAGTCCTAGAGCTGTTCATCCACTCTTTCAGCTAGTGAAGAGAGGCTCTGTGGCGTCCACTGTCTGATATGGGAGGGATACTTCACGGAAACACTTATGGGAAAACGAAGAGCTGGGCTACAACTGAACGCTTGCAAACCTAGTGAGGAGAGCTTTAAACTAGATTTGTTGGGGGACAGTGACCAAAACCCTGAGGGGAGTGGGAAAGCCAGATACTGGGAAGAAATGCAAAGAGGAACAAGCAACAAAGGAGGACCCCTGATTTGAATGCAGAGAGTAGGGCGATCAACTGGCTATCTAAGGTGTTTGTACACATTGCAAGAAGCCTGGGTAACAAACAGGAAGAATTGGAGGCCCTTGCCCAGTCCAAGAACTATGATTTCATTGGGATAACAGAGACTTGGTGGGATGACACGCATGACTGGAGCGCTGTAATGGAAGGGAATAGACTGTTCAGGAAGAACAGGCAGGGGAGAAAAGGAGGAGGAGTTGCACTGTATGTAAGAGAGCACTATGATTGCTCAGAACTCCGGTATATAGAGGGAGAAAAGCCTGTTGAGAGTCTATGGGTCAAGTTTACAGGTGTAAGCAACAGCAGTGATGATGTGGTTGGTGTGTGCTACAGGTCGCCGGATCAGGTGGATGAGGTAGACGAGGCTTTCTTCAGACATATGACAGAAGTTTCCAGATCACCAGCCCTGATTCTCATGGGGGATTTTAATCACCATGACATCTGTTGGGAGACCAATACGGCAGTACACAGACAATCCAGGAATTCTCTGGAGAACGTTGGGGATAGCTTCTTGGTACAAGTGCTGCAGGATCCAACCAGGGGCTGTGCGCAGCTTGACCTGCTGCTCACAAACAGGGAGGAACTAATAGGGGAAGTAGAGGTGAGTGACAACCTGGGAAGCACTGATCATGAGATGGTAGATTTCAGGATCTTGACCAAAGGAAGAAAAGAGAATAGTAAAATACACACCTTGGACTTCAGAAAAGCAGACTTCGATTCCCCCAGAGACCTGATGGGCAGACTCCCCTGGGATGCTAACATGAAGGGGAAAGGAGCCCAGGAGAGCTGGCAGTATTTTAAAGAAGCCTTACTGAAGGCACAGAAAGAAACCATTCCAATGCGTAGTAAGAGAAGCAAATATGGTAGGAGACCAGATTGGCTTCACCAAGGATTTCCCTGGTGAACTCAAGCACAAAAAGGGAGTTTACAAAAAGTGGAAACTTGGACAGATGACTAGGGAAGGGTATGAATGTATAGCTCGAGAATACAGGGGAGTTATCAGGAAGGCGAAAGCGCAATTGGAATTGCGACTCGCAAGGGATGTGAAGGATAACAAGAAAGGTTTCTACAGGCATGTTAGCAAGAAGAAGGTGATCAGAAGGCATGTAGGGCCCTAACTGGATGAAGGAGGTAACGCAGTGACAGATGATATGGGGAAAGCTGAAGTACTTAATGCTTTCTTTGTCTCTGTCTTCATGGACAAAGTCCCAGACTAATGCTCTAAGTGACACAATATGGGACGAAGATGGAAAGCCCTAGGTGGGGAAAGAACAGATTAGGAACTATTTAGAAAAAAACTAAAAGTACATACATTCATGGGTCTGGACTTAATACATCCGAGGGTACTGAGCGAGTTGGCAAATGTCATTGAGGACCCTTTGGCCATTATCTCTGAGAAGTCACGGAGATCGGGAGAGATCCCGGATGATTAGAAAAAGGCAAATGTAGTGACCATCTTTAAGAAAGGAAAGAAGGACAATCCAGGGAACTATAGGCTTACCTCAGTCCCTGGAAAAATCATGGAGGGGATCCTCAAGGAATCCATTTTAAAGTACTTGGAAGACAGGAAGGTTATCAAGAATAGTCAGCATGGATTTGTGAAGGGAAATGACCGATCTGATAAGCTTCTATGATAAGGTAACTGGCTCTGTGGATATGGGAAAGTCAGTGGATGTGATATATCTTGACTTTAGCAAGTCTTTTGATACGGTCTCCCACAATATTCTTGCCAGCAAGTTAAGGGAATGTGGATTGGATAAATGGACGGTAAGACGGATAGAAAGCTGGCTGGAAGGTCAGGCCCAGTGGGTAGTGATCAACAGCTCGATGTCAAGTTGGCGGTCGGTTTCTAGCAGAGTGCCTCAAGGCTCGGTTCTGGGACCAGTTTTGCACAAAATATTTATTAATGACCTGGATGAGGGGATGGATTGCACCCTCAGCAAGTTTGCGGAGGACACTAAGCTAGGGGGAAGAGGTAGATATGCTGGAGGGCAGGGATAGAGTTCCAGAGTGACTTAGACAAACTGGAGGATTGGGCCACAAGAAATCTGATGTGGTTCAACAAGGACAAGTGTAGAGTCTTGCACTTGGGATAGAAGAACCCAAGCACTGTTACAGAATGGGGACCAACTGGCTAAGTAGCAGTTCTGTAGAAAAGGACCTGGGGATTACAGTGGATGAGAAGTTGGACATGAGTCAACAGTGTGCTCTTGTAGCCAAGAAGGCTAATGGCATATTAGGTTGCATTAAGAGGACCATTGCCAGTCGATCCAGAGATGTGATTATTCCTCTTTACTTGGCTCTGGTGAGTCCACAGCTGGTATAGTGTGTCCAGTTCTGGGCCCCCTATTACAGGAAGGATGTGTATGCATTGGAGAGGTTCCAGCGGAGGGCAACCAAAATAATTAGGGGGCTGGAGCATATGACCTATGAGGAGAGGCTGAAGGAGTTGGGTCTGTTTAGCCTGCAGAAGAGAAGAGTGTGGGGGGGGGATTTGATAGCAACCTTTAACTACCTGAAATGAGGTTTCAAAGAGGATGGAGAGAGGCTGTTCTTAGTGGTGACAGATGGCAAAACGAGGAGCAAGGGGTCAAAGTTGTAGTGGGAGAGGTCTAGGTTGGATATTAGGGAAAACTATTTCACTAGGAGGGTGGTGAAGCACTGGAAAGAGGTAACTAGAGCCCCTATAGGTGTTTAAGTCTCAGCTGGGTTGATTTAATTGGGATTGGTCCTGCCTTGGGCAGGGGGCTGGACTTGATGACCTTCTAAGGTCTCTTCCAGCTCTATGATTTTATGACCCAGTCTGCAACAGCCTTTAGTTAGAACTGGATATGGTAAGCAAGAGAAACCACACATCTTTCTGTGAAGGCAGCCTCCTCTTTCTAGATACAGGCAACATATTTCTCCACTGAATTAGGTATTAGCCAAAGTGGTGGGTTTTTTGTAGATCTTTTTCTTTTAAAGACAGGAGTCAGAAGTTCATTCACAAGTCAAGCTAGCATTCTAACATGGATACTGATTCACTAGCCATATTATTTCCTTTCTCCAGGAATGCAAAGTCTAAACCTAAACCAGACCTGTTGAGGAAACCATACTTAACACTGAGGGACTGCACCACAGGGCCAGGCTTGAGATTGGGCTCTACACTGCACACGAAGCCTGGGCTCAGACTCCAGCTTGAGCCCGAGCACCACTTCTGTTCACACACAATTCTCTCTGACTCAGTCAATGAGCGCACAAGGCCTGGATTCTAGGCCACTACTAGCAGTGTGGGTCAGAACCCCATCTCCCTTTTAACTCCAAGACTTGGCATTTGACAATATGGACATAGTTCAAACAGCAGACCCGAATCAGAAGATCTGCATAGTGCAATAGGCTACATAGGGCTGTGAGACTCAGGTCCAGGAACTGCAAACTGAGGTTTGCAATGCTGTATGGACACTCAAGCACTGGGTTAGAAACAAAGGGTCCAGAAGCCTGAAATCCAAAAACTATGCAATGCAGACCCCACAATGGTAAATTCACTTGGCGCCACATGATGGAAGAGACAGCAAGGGAGCTACTAGGAGGGGTTAAAGGTCAATTCACTGGTAATTGTGAACCACTGGCTTTCTCCACACTGGTAACTTATGTCACGGTAACTTATGAACCTTTGGGTGACAAAACTGCATGAGCGTTCACACTGCAGCATGACTTTTGTTGGAAAAAAGACCATTTTTGTCAGCAGAAAACTTCCAGCTC